TTGTAAGACACAATAATAGATGGTTAGTAATATATTCCATGCTTCACCAAAGACATAATGCACTCTGTATTTGGCAATTACCAGTGTATGCCAGATATTAAACTAGATAATACATGTCCTAGGACCAGGACCATAACTCTGTCCCAGGAGTTATTGGTCGAATTCATACTGCAAAGGCATGAATTGATTTTTTCCCACAGTTGTTCACAGATGCTCTTCACAGTGAAACACTTTCAATGAGATCATTTTGTCACCTAAATTAACTCAACCACTTTAGCTATTCAGTTGACAGGGCAGCAAATGTTTCAAGAATGTAAAATATTATTTACCATTGGCTACCTCTGTCAGGCATATACTGTGAACTGAAAGCAGATAATGGGAGGGGGGTGGGGGGTCATGCTGCTGCAGAACTACAACAAAGATCTTAAGAGGATTACTGAACCACAGCACTGGTTTCTAAATTATAACATTCAGGAAGAATATCAACAACAACAAATTACACTTGTATAATGCCCTTCACGTAGGAAAGTCGTCATGTCGGAAATCAACAACAATTTGCATTTGTATAGTGCCTTTTACATCAGGAGAACGTGTGAAAACCCTTCACACAACTGAATGTCAGCCTAAAGTAAATCACATTCAAGCTTAGTTGCTACAAGTCAACATGCCAGGCTTCTGGTTACCCAAAGAAATCCCCATTAAAATTATTATTAAGAAAGACTGTTTAAGAAAACTGCAATTTAGAACCCGCTATAAAATTTAGGAGTCAAAATATTGTACTGATTTTATATACAACTTCTGAAATTACTTGTTTATTCATCACAAAATAGTATCACTGGTTAACGCTATAAAACAGTGATGTGTAGGCTGTCTACCCCATGACATGTTGAAGGTACAGATAGTCTTCATTTTACAATTAAAATACCTGGTGCATAGCCATAGTCATACGTTACACTTTGATAATTAATTAGGTGCTTTAAATAGGTGAGCAACGATGGTATTGAAATGGCAATTGTAAAGGCAAAAAGCAACCTCCTTGCCACATTTCATATTATGCGTTTTTAAGTATGGCTGTCATCACCTGTCAAAAAGTCAGCAGCCAGAACTGACATGTAGTCAAATGTGAAACACATACACACAAATAAAAGGTTGGCAGCAATTCTTTCAAAGTTTTATATTGTTCTGTAATTACTTTGCCCTTCACATCTCTCAAGAAGCTACACGTCTGCTGTGGACACAACAATGGCGAGGTAAACTATTCCCAGAACTCTTGACAGTAACTCTTTTAAAATGGTCAAAAGCAGGTTGATGAGAACACTGCTCCTTTCCCCTGTGGGAACCTGTAATAGTGCTTCCTTAACATTAGCACAGCTGTGATCAGTATAAACCATATGGGGGGGAGGAAAGACAATAATGTTTAATCATAAACAAATACTGTAGTGACATTATAAACTTCACAATACTGCTTCATATACAATGTATATTGATATAAAAACAGGATCTTTCAATGTTAACCTTAATATTTTGTCCAGGCCACATTAATATTTTATCCAGGCTACAGACCATAAAACATTTTATATATGGATCTATAACTTTAATATCAGTTTTGAGCTCAATCAATACCAGAACCAGTAACACTTAAGAAATCATAAATCATCCCCATCTCAATCCTACATACTTTGAAATGTAAATGCAGTATTCGGCTGAAAGATTTTCATGGTTGAGTTAGCACAGACCCTGCCCTGAGTTACTCAGCCATGATGATGTGACAAAAAAAGAACAGCTGGTGGATTTCTATCCCTCTCAAGTCAGCCAACGACCCTCACCAATACCAATTCCCTTTTGTTAAAAAACAGCCTTTTGAGATGCCAGAACGGATACAATTTCAATGTATTGATTGATTCTGCTATTTTAATACTGTACTTTCTACAGTCTGTGGGTTCTACCGAGAAAGACAACATGCTAGACATTCCAGCAGCAGCTGGATATTTGATGTCAAATCTGGTAGCCATTTTACAGACACTGAAACAAAAGCACTTCATCCAGGGGGCTGCTGCTAATTATTCTGCAGCAGAAGAGGAACATTAATTTTGAACGAAGTGTCACTAGGTTAAGACAAATTGACAATCATTAAGTACTACATCACATACTATGAAAAGGAAGAACCCTTTTTATTTCAATGCGCACATTTCAATCAAATGAAGCAGGGTTAAAAAGTCAAAAATAACACCAAAGGTAAATTCAGAAGACATAAGTCCAAATTCTTCTCTTTTAAAAATCAACTTTATAGAATTTGCTGTCTATCAAGGAGTTCCAGGATTTGACCCCAAGCTTCTCAGATAGGAAGTTCCTTACCTTGAATCAAGCTGTCGGGGTAAGGTGGGGGTGGGGGAAGAGAAAGCAAGATGGGGAAACAGTCAAAGATCAGAGGATCTATAAACCCAGTCTGCACTAGACATCTCTTGGTGGCTGCATTCAGATCAGCAATGGCAAGATACCTTGGGCAAATCACCTTTGTGCATTTTGGATGGAGAATGGCAAGATTATCCTGAATCACCTCCATACCAAACCATTACAAATTATTTTTTGATAATTGTTTAAACAGTTTACATTATCTTCTCTATCTTTATAGTTTTATCTAATACTCTCCCAGAATTCAAAAAAATAAACGGCTGAGCAATTTTCAATGTTTATGCATGTCAAAATATAAAATTTTAAAAGCAATTCCCCAACCACATAATATGTTTGGGGTTATTTAAACCATACATTTTCCAACTCGCTCTTAACAGATTGTATGGTATTCACATCCAGATGATGACATCTGAGAGCAGAGTATCTGGCTGCTGGACACTCAAACTCACCAGATATGGTTTGAGGGTGGAAGAAAGGAAAAAAAGTCAGCTTTCAGGGAACATGTTGCTTTGAGGCGACAGCTCAGCTGCCTGGCATAATACAATTATATTCAGATGATAATATTTGAGAGCTGAATATCTGGCTTTTTAACACTCAAACACCATTTTTGGAGTGAGAAAGAAGTTAAACAAAAACAGTGTATAGCAGGATTACGCAATCGGAGGGGCGGTTAAGGGAAGAAACAGCAAATATATCAGTCGGCTATGAAATACAAACACAGCTGTTTCATTCCACAGAAAGAATCCTTCTTTGTTGATCACAAAATTGGTCTTTGATAGACCAGGACAGGAGGACTTTGTGGCAAAGTTCACCGTTAGAATTATTAGCATTTATAGATTTTATTTATATTCAAATTAGCACGCAAAAACAGATGACTTGGCATATTAAAATTCCTTTTTGAAAAAAAACTTGATGTCATTACAGCTTCACGCTTCGATCCTGGTTTATATTTTATCAGTTCTATTTTTACTCAAAATCATTAGGGTTCCCCCTTCCCCAACACACACACTTCTACTATTGGTTTTGTCTTCTCAAATTCAAGACCCAGACTGAAGATTCTGGCTAAAACATTCTCCAGAAGCTCCTTTGTCATGTGCACAGAACATGCACGTGTCAGAATAGATGGTATTAAATCATTCCGACTTTATCATGATGTGAACTTTGTACTGATAACATTTTAAACTGATCTTCTTTCCAGTAAAATGGTTTGCACGCCAGAAGGCTATGTTTCACTTATCATCAAGGTAGTGGGTCACAACTGCTGGTGCTCAAAGAGAAACCAGAAACCTAACTATCAATCATTGCATTCCCAGTGAAGAAAGGACATTAGAAAAATGATCATTCCAGCCTTATTAATCGACTCCCCCACCCCACCCACTAATGGATTAAGCTCAATGCCATACAGCTTAGCTTGTTGGTGAATGCCTTCATTTTTCCAATGTCAGTGCTACCAGTTAACAATTTTTTTTAAGTGGTCTATTAAATGAAGGATTTTCTTGGGCTTCAAAAACATTAAATTTCATATTCCTCCCCTTCTGACCAACTGAAATAGACCATGCCAGTCGTGCAATATGATTCCTCCACTCATGAGGTAACCATAACCTATTTGCAACCTTCACTCATAAATAAGTCAAGGCCACCTGTGAAAAAATTCACACTATTTGTGGGTCACTGCTGTGCGCAATTGGCTGCCGCGTTTCGTCCGCAAAATATACACTCGATCCTCCTTACAATATATTCTGCTGAAGCGCTTTGAGACATCTCAATAACATAAAAAGGTGCAAAATCAAATGCAAATAATAATAATGCAAGGATTATTATTGTTGTTGCTATTCCTCCATTTATCATGTGTCCATCATATGAAATGTCTACCATCTGGAACTGCGGGCAAAAGGTTGGTGCGTTTAGCAAGCAGAAGCTCAGCCTCTCGATTGCTCTGCACTGCCGCCCCCAACTACTTTTTCCCCACATTATTGCATCAAGTGCAGCCTCCGCCAGCGTTAGCCGCCAGAACACCTTTGCCAGGGCTCCAGCCGAGCAGCCAATGCAGTCAGTAAGATAGCTGAGCAGCCGGGGGTTAGGGTTAGGGGGGGAAAAAAAAGGGTGTTAAAAGTAGAATGCTCTGAAGCCAACACCAGAACCATTCCCCCCTTCCCCCCACACCCCACCCACACTCCCTCCCTCCCTCTCTCCCTCCTCATTCCCGGTTTGCGGAAGCTCCCGCCGGCCGGGCTCGCCCCTGGCGAGGCTCTGCCATCTGTGGACAAGACCACGCAACACAACGACCGTCCCCCGGGGCCGGCGGACCCGACACGCCATGACCCGGCATGTTGTCGTCGTTGTCGTTGTCGTTGCTGGTGCTGTGTTGCTCTTTGACCGTGCCTTCAGCTCCCCCGCTCCACTCTCTACCCCCTCCTCCCTCCCCTCCCCTCGACCATTCCCCCCCCCCCTCCCCCAAATGCTCGGGTCCCGAACCAACCGTCCAGCGCCTTGGGACGTCCTCCCGACGTGAAAGGCGCTCTGTAAATGCAATCTTGTTGTTGTTGTTGCTGCTGCTGCTGCTGGCGGTGCTGGTGCTGGCGGCTTACCTTGGTGCCCTGGTAGTAATCGTCCACCGAGGTCACGTTCATGAAGGTCTCCTGGAAGTGGGTGCTGGTGTCGATGCCCCCGGGCATGACCAGTTTGCCGGTGGCGTCGATGACTTTGGCCCCGCCGGGGATCATCAGCTCGCGGCCCACCTGCTGGATGACCCCGTTCTCGATGTAGACGTCGGCCTCCTGCGTGCAGTCGTCGTTCACCACCTTCCCCCCTTTTATGAGGGTCCTCAGGGCGCTGGAGCTCGCGTGCATTGTTCTCCCGGGCAACTGCGCCAGTCAACCGCTAACCACTGGGGCTCACAGACCTGTGTGTGTGTGTGTGTGTGTATGTGCGGCTCTCTCTCTCTCTCCCTCTCTCTCTGTCTGTCCTCCTCTTTAATCTCTCTCACACTCTCTCTATCCTCCTCTTTATCTCTCTCCCTGTTCTCCTCTCTCTGTCTCTCTCTCTTTCCTCCTCCTCCTCCTCTCGCCACGACGCCCGTTGCTAAGTGCGTGCAACCCAACTTCACCGTCGCCACCTCCAGCGCAACCTAACTCGTTCGCGCACCGCGCGTCAGATGGGCACCTGCGCCGGCCGGCCGGCCGGGCGGCACGAGCCAATCAGAGCGTTAGATTGACTGGGGGGACACGTGGGGAGGGAGGGAGCGGGGGGGGGGGGGCGTGCGTGGTGCACTCTGGGAGTTGCTGTCCTGTTAAACACAAAACAAACGACCTGCAGGGGAGCGACGGGCGAGTGGACTACACATCCCAGAACACCCTGCGAACCCCACTGGCACTGTTGGTACCCCACTGTGTGTCTTGTGTCAAAGGCATCCTTGGGGATGGTTTGCGTTTGGTAACTCTCCAGGTTAAGCTCCTGGTAGTGCAATAACACTGCCGGATGCAATTGGTTTTATTTGTCAAATCAACCTTGTTGGAGCCCTGCAGCTCAGTGGTTTAGAGCACTCGCTTTGCAAGCGAGAGACATGGTTTCGACTCCGTTGGAAAACGTTGGACAAGTTTCCTTACTCCACACGCCTCTGTTTGCCGAGCAATGAGTAGGAACCCGGTTGTTAGTCTGGGGGGGTAATAATTTCTTCAATCCACAACTTTGTGGGACACTGCTGTGCGCAATTGGCTGCTGTGATTCGCTCACAAATATATAGTTAATTGACTTTACAGTATATTCTGTGAAGCGCTTTGCGACGTCTCGAAGACGTGATAAAGCGCTCTATCAAATGCAAGGATTATTTTATTATTCTTTATCACTGTTTGTTGCGTTATTTTTCAACGTCAGCATGAGGATGCAATCATGAATCCACACACACAGACAAATAGTTGTTATCAAGCAATTTTGGTAAAATGAAACCTTTCAAAAATGCATGACTGTGTAGTGTTCATAAGCCTAAAATATTGTACTTACCGAAATACGCAGGACTTTTCTATATTTGTCATCAGTACAGATGAGGATTTTATTTCATAAATGTATCCTATCATTGTTTGTTTGCCAAATCACACCCTTCTGAAGTGAGACAATCGTGTCTGATGTCACTGTAATAATAAATATTGTATAGCCTGGTTTATATTATTTAAATACAATTCCACCCACAAAATACACTTTACAATATATTCTGTGAAGCTCGTTGAGACATCTCAATGATGTGATAAGGCACTGTATTGAATGCAAGGATTATTATAAATGAAGGTACCGTGCCATTTTTTAAATCATAAATCTCACCCGAGTAAAAACATCTGTGCAGTTTAATTTGGCACAAATTAAAGCAAACTGGTCGTTCTATCTGTAACTGCAGTTATCATTATTGGATAACAATCAAAGCAGATGCAGTACTGACAATTACAAGTACCCCTTCAATTTAACAAGAGTCTGCAGTTTCTATTTAAAGAAACTGTATTTACCGCATTCCTCTGAATCCATCCACTATGTCCCACAGGCATTTCTTCACTCAGTGGGTTGAGAAGATGTGGAATACTCTGCCCCAGAAAGTTGTAGAGGTGAAATAATTGGAATGTTAAAAAAAGAGATAGATACAAAGTTGGATAGTTGAGGTATTGAAGTATTGGGTTGCAGACGTTTTAAGGGATATGGCAAAAGGGCGGAGCAGTGGGATTTTAAAAAAATGACAATGAAATAGCTGTGTTGGTCTGAATGACCTTCTCTTCCTGTTTTCTGTTATGTTCCCAATCTCTCAATGGTATATTTTCAGTATCTCATTGGTGCTATGGAAACTATTGTCAGGAGAAAGTCCAGAGACAGGTATTTATTTAGCCCCTTATGTGGCATTATGAAGTTTACTGGAGACATCATAAAGGAAGAGCACCAACACCAACTCATTATTCCTTTTCATGATGGCAATGGATTTCCATAATGTCAGTGGAGTGGAGATATACAGTGATATATGGTGAATTTCTGTACAAAATGGATTTGCCCCCATCCCCAAGCAGCCTATGACCTGTAACTCAGTTAAATATTATGACAGTAACACATGACTGTAAAATTACAGACAATTGCTTCTAGAGCTTTTAAGAATATGGACAATTCAACAGAATGTACACTCCTGTTAAATGACATGACCCCTACTGTCATGGGACTGTCCACAGTAACCATAACTGAACAGAGTTACTGAATAGAATACTCCATCACACTGCAGATGACAGCCCAGCAATCCTTGCTCATTGGTAGTATTTGGAAGGGCAGACCAGTCATTGGGGGCAGAGCCTCTTTCCACTCACATGCGATTAACACTAGAAGCAAAAGCCCTAAAGGGTAGGATGGTCCTAGGTGGACAAGCAGCTGAGATTAAGCTGATATCCCATCTGTCTGTTCAAGTGGAAATTAAATCCCCATGCACTAATTGAAAAGACAAGGAGTTTCTTTCTCCCAGTGTCCTGGCCAATAATCACCTAAATAAAAATTGGTCATCCGTTTCCTGACTGTTTTTGCACAATTGTGCTGCCGTATTTGCCTATAAATTACATAGTCACTCCATTTGACAGTAAATCCTGTGAATTGCTTTGAGTTGTCCTTTTAATAATAATATTAATAATAATCCTTGCATTTGATATAGCGCTTTTCACGTCTTTTAGACGTCTCAAAGCGCTTCACAGAATAGACTGTAAAGTGAATTGACTGTATATTTGTGGGCGAAATGCGGCAGCCAATTGCGCACAGCAGTGTCCCACAAACAGTCGTGGATTGAAATTACCAATTTATTATTGTTTTTTTGAGGGATTATTATCCCTCAAAAGTCCATGGAGTCCTGTAGCTCAGTGGTTAGAGCACTTGCTTTGCAAGCAAGACACCTGGGTTCAATTCCAGGCAGGGCAAAACCTTGGGCAAGTTTCCTTACTCCACACGCCTAATAATAATCCCTCCAAAAACCCAAAAAACAATAATAAATTGGTCATTTTCAATCTACGTCTGTTTGTGGGACATTGCTGTGCGCAATTGGCTGCCGCGTTCGCCCACAAATATACAGTCAATTCACTTTACAGTATATTCTGTGAAGCGCTTTGGGACGTCCTCCCAACGTGAAAAGCGCTATATCAAATGCAAGGATTATTATTATTATTATTATCAGGCGTGTGGAGTAAGGAAACTTGCCCAAGATTTCACCCTGCCGGGAATCGAACCCAGGTCTCTCGTTTGCAAAGCGAACTACAGGACTCCAGTTTGTCGCTATAACAAGTGCAATTATTATTATTATTATTAAGCTGTGTGGTTTTAGATGGTTAAACTCCAGCAGTGCTGCAACACACACTCTGTGGTCCTCAAGCCTTAGCTCTTGCCAGCCTATGCCTAAAATTCTCATAATAAAGATATTATTATCTTTTGAAGGATAATAATAATCCATGCATTTGATATGAACGAGAGTGGAGGCAATGATTCATGGGCGCAAGACACACAGCAGGTAATGAAAATAATGACAGACAAACACAGAGTAAAAGAAATTGTAAGAATTGTAGGATTAGAAACAAAATATAAAATGAAACACTGCAACAGTTTGTCTGGTGTGGAAACATGTCTGGTGAGCCTGGTATAAAGCAACTTACTGCTAACCTTTTAACACAATAGTCTGCACTGCATCTTAACCTACTGGTGAAAAATTAACAGATTTTTAACAAGTCAAAATTTGCTTGAAAATGAACTGGTACATTTGTGTGCTTGGTTGGGTACCTTGCACGCCTGGGGCTCCAGGACACTACCCCACACAAACGGCACTATATAAATGCAAGTTGCTGTGTTTTGGGGGTAATGAAATTGTACCATAGAGCCATAATTTCAAATACAGTCAAAATCCCCTAATTCTTAGCCTTGTATTACATTGTCATGATCATTTTAAAATCTGGGTCATGAAACTAACTGAAGATAAAAAGGACCTGCAATATCCTAAAATATTTGACATAGAATTATTCCAAAAAACCTGATAAGTAACAACAGTAAAACATGTGGGGAAAGATGGAAGGGTGATTAATAAAAGAATCAATTTAGAAAAATAAACATGAGTAGCGCAAACACAGAGTTTCTGAGAGGCCTTCTTCTGTGCAGAAAATGTCTGTGCTCCCATATTTGCCAGTCACCAGCAAGATTAATTTCAGGGCATCACAGAATACCTGCATATTGAGGAATTGGAGTCACATAGAATTTATGTGTTGCACGAAGGTACAATGTAATGCAGTCTGCAATGGGGTAAAATGCTTGTCTTGCAATACACTACTTGTCAATACACATGCCAAATGGATGATCCTGTCAACCTTCCAGAACAGTACATAAATCAGATCCTGACTACAGATAAACATGATGCCTTGACCAGTGACACTGTAATTTCTTCCAGGTGTCTGAAAATACCCAGTAACTAATAAAATGGATGACTGTTGTGATTTTAACACCTACAAACAGAGTAGTTAGTCACTCAAAAAGCATCACGTTGTTTCGAGCTTTGTTATATTTGTAGCCAACAAGCATTTTAATTATTTGCCCTTTTCTATACCTGAAAATATTGAATCTTGCCAAGACACATGTTATGACACTGGTGGCTGCCCAATCTTTCTTTATATTTAAACGTTGAAAATGAGTTTTAGCAGTCTATTTGACCATGGAGAGCATCACAAACAGAGCCTACTCTGTTTCAGCCAAAATTCACTTTCCATAATAATCAGTTTACTTTGGACAATGATCAGGAGCAGGAACACTAGCTGATTTCCCGCTTCTCCCTAGTTAAATAGCACTATGATAAATTTCTGCCCCCAAATAAAAAACTTCACATTTGGCGTTATGCCTTTCATGTGGAAGGAGGTCTCAATATATCCTTCACAGGACATATTGTAAAGTGTGGGTGAAGTT